GAGAGAGAGAGAGAGAGAGAGAGCGAGAGAGAGAGAGAGAGAGGGGCACATTGCAAACACATACCAGCTTCATCACTGTGTCTGTCACGCGACTCTGTTCCCCTTTCGGGCTCTGTCTTTACATTTATTTTGAAAGATGAAGCTCGTGATTATGGTAAGGGGCGTTACATTTCCGACGCGTGCTTGTGGTGTTCGGCCAATCACAATGCACTGGGTCAGCTGGCCAATCAGAGCAGACTGCGCTTGTCGGAAGGAGGGACTTTGTAGAAAACAAAGCGTTTGAGAGAGGCGGGGCATAGAGGACCTACAATAATGTACAGTATTTGAAAAATAATGTGTTTTTTGAACATTAAAGCATGTCAACATATTCTGTTACACCAAACACACAAAATAATGATCTTTAAAAAAGCATCATATGACCCCTTTAATGTTATGGTCAGTGTTTTACTGATGTAGAATTGCTTAGTGTGTTTGGGTTCTTAAAAGTTTAAGATTTTATATATAATTGTTAATTTAACTTTAAGATACTGTAGTTATTTTCTTAATTTGTCATGACAGATGTTTGCATCATGACAACTTTATAAAAATATGGCCACAATGTTTAAGAAAAAAACAGTAGCATAGTTTGTGATAATACTTGGTATTTCTTTGGTGCTATTAAAGCAGGGGTGCCCAAACTGGGTCCTGGAGGGCCGGTGTCCTGCAGAGTTTAGCTCCAACTTGCCTCAACACACCTGCCTTCAAGTTTCTAGTATACCTAGTAAGAGCTTGATTAGCTGCTTCAGGTGTGTTTAATTAGGGTTGGAGCTAAACTCTTCAGGACACCGGCCCTCCAGGACCGAGTTTGAGCAGCCCTGTGTTAAAAGCACCACAACAAACCTGTAGCTCTTTTATGAAATAGTAGTAAATCGCAGTTTTGATCAGAAAAATCGCAATTAGATTATTTTTTTTCTCCAAATCGTGCAGCCCTACCAAGCACAAACGTGTACTTTCACTCAACAAAAGTACTTCTTTCGCCGTTTTTAACATTTAACATCAGATCAGTCATATTGAAAATCAGAGAAAATTAAACAAACCTTTGAGTACCAACGAGATCACCCCCGCTTCACACGGAGCGTGTACACTGCGCATGCTCCGTGACCTTGCGCTCAAACCACGCCCGCTTGATGTCGTCAGACCTGAAACACCCAGTATTGGGGGGGGGGGGGGGGGGGGGGGGGGGGGCATTTTTATGACGTCATCATGTAGACTTCTTACAAAGTATTTTACAGTATTTTAAAATAACACACGAGGGCTAGAGTGCTAATCTGGAACATTTTCAGCCGTCGTGGTAAAATAAAGTGTTTATCTCAATAATGTTTAAAAAAAATACAAAACACTGAAGTATTTTGATACAAAATACGAAGCCATTTTCATCAACCCTACAAATTACAAAATACCATTTTGTATTTGAAATACATGTATCATAAATACTGCCCATCAATCCGTGTATCATTCGGACATTCGTTTTTTGATTTAATATTGAAAGTAGAAAAATGAGAAAACGGCTCCTTTTTCGTATTTTTGTTTTTTCCCAAAACAGGAAAAACGAGAATTCAGCTTAAATTTTCGTTTTTCATTCTTGACGTTAAATGCATCATATAAGTCACTTTGGAATAAATCACAGTAGGCCTATGTATCATGATAAAACAAGTGACTTTACAGTCTGGAAATACTTTAGGCTATAGCAAATTATTTCTCGGACCCCCTATCACTTTAAGAACCGCTGGTCTACACAGAAGAAAGAACTGTCTAGACTCTCCCCCGGTATGAGTTGTGTCGAGCCATTCATTAGTCTGTTTGATGAGAAAAATATGAAATGTAGTTGCAATAAAATGGGTTATTAATCCGTACAACTGCAGCAGTGGAGGACTATTATTCTGCTGCATGATACTGCGGAAGTACTGATGACAGTACGGTTTGATCTTCAGCTGACCAATCAGCAGAAAGGGGTGTTACTTTACTAGTTACTTGAAAATGGTCATCTGATTTTGTAACTTATGTTACTTGTAGCCCCAACACTGCAAAGGAAAGACCGAACTAACCTTTGAAGATCAAAGATCTGATACTTAATACTCACCTTGAAATGATTCTAACTTATTAATAGGTTTATTTTAGACCAGATAGAAGTGAAAGAGCGAAGACAAGAACTGAATGGAGTGAAATGTCAATGGTGATGATCCTTTAGCTTGTCTACCTATTCACACAAGTAAAATATGCTTAATATGCCAATTTACAGAAGATCTCAGACATCATCATAATGAATGAGGAGAGAACAGAGAACTATTGGAGAGAGATTTAAACGTGTTAGACCCATTGTTTCAAACTTATGTTATTTGTGTTAAAAATAGGAATTGTACATTTATACAGGACAGGCTATGAGATTTAAAAATGTTTCTTTTATTTGAATAAAATAGGAAAAGCCAAACAGCAAAATAGTGTTTAATTTGTTGTCAGCCAAAGCAATGCAGAAATACAAGTGGCAATGTAGTACAGTAATAAAATACAAATGTAACATATAAAAAAAAAAGACATCCCAATTAGACTGTAAATTGGCTCAACAGAAAAAAACTGTATTTAATCCAAAGCATTAGTTTGGAGCACTATAAGACTTATGACAAATCAGTAATACATATAGCGTTCTGATTGTACATTAAATTATGACAAATAAAACAAGATAAAAGGCTTGATTAATTAAGAAAGAATGTTTAAATCACATCAGTTCAACATTAATACTTTTGCAAATATTTGGGATGTACAGCCATTATCATAAACTCAACACAGATAAAAAAAAAAAAACATCTCTATGCAACATACCTGTAAGTTGTCTATCTGTATAACTTATAAAATTACCACTTCACAGAAACACCTCCTTTATATGTGGTTCCTAGTAATGTGTTAGTCTATTTATAGTGTTTTAGTCAGATATTTGATTCTGTTCAGAGGCAGTAATAGATTGTATTTGTGTTGGTCCTTTAGTTCTCACGTTAGTTACTCTTTCTATCTACATCTTGTGTTATAAATGACCAGGAATATCCAGTGGGCGGCAGCATCACAATAAAGAGACACAATTTAAGAAAGTAGTGATTTACAAAGTTTGACACGAAAAAGCTTGAGAGGTGAGGTATTTCAGTTCTGGATATTGTAGCGAGTAATGACCAGTAGGATTTATTAAATGTTTTGTTACGAGTTTTTCATTTCTTATGCAGAAAAGATGTATTAACACTGTTTAGAAATTATATTGATCGGTCTGGAGATGTTTATCTTGTGTGGGTTTAAGTTGTCAGTTTTAGATTTAAGTGTAGTTTAAATGTAATTTAACCTGTGCTTTGTTTCATCCTTATTTAAAACCATAACTCAGGCTTACATTAAGATGAGCTTCCTTTCAATAGTTTTATATGCTAGTAATATACAACTTTCTGACAGCAAATGCATGTGTCCACTTAATGTAATATTAATATTAATTATAATGTCACCAAGTGGTACAGTGATATTACACTTACACACCAAACTGTTCGCTGACTGGTAATACAGGTTAGAACCGCAAGTGTGATTGTTAGATGATCTGAAGGCATCTTGGCTTTGTTTTTTGAGCAGTAAAGTCTGTATTTGGCATTTGGAACATCTTGACTTGAGAGATTCTTTTGGAAAAGGAGAGAAGACTTTCTTCACCACTAGCAGAGGAGAAACTCCAGGTGTTCTCCTCTGAAACTCCGACGGGGATCCGCCGGCCACGCCGTTCTCAAGCCCGCCCACCTCTGCTCACTCAAGCCGGGCTCCGCTCACTCTAGACCGCTGCTCACTCTAGGCATCCGGCCTCCTCTCACTCAAGCCGGGCTCCGCTCACTCTAGACTGCGGCTCACTCTAGGCATCCGGCCTCTGCTCACTCAAGCCGGGCTCCGCTCACTCTAGACCGCTGCTCACTCTAAGCATCCGGCCTCCGCTCACTCAAGCCGGGCTCCGCTCACTCTAGACCGCGGCTCACTCTAGGCATCCGGCCTCCGCTCACTCAAGGCCGCGGTGTGTGACTCTGTTTCGTTGTGAAAGCGAAACTACTTTGCTTTTCAGACCGATGAGCTTTGTAAAAATCGACGCGTTTCAGAAAGGCGGGACTTAGAGGAGAAACAATAATTAATATTGTTATAAAATATCACTACTGACTGCTGAAAAACATTAAGTTAACAAAGCTTCTGTAAGTATGATATATAATAGAGAATATGCAACTCGTTAACCTGATCTCTGTTATTTTCTGCTAATCAGGGTTCAGTTAAATTTTCACATTTGTTCTCCTTGAACTACTTACTATGTTTATTTTAGACCAGAAAGAAGTGAAAGAGCAAAGACAAGAGCTGACTGAAGGGGAGGAGGAACACAGTGACTTCAGAACTCGAAGATTAAAAACCAAAAAGGTGCACACCTGCTCACATTCAGCTGACTGTTCATTGATGGAAGATTGTAAACAGCACCAGAAAACACATGATGGTGTGTGTCGTGAGTGTGGGAAGAGCTTTACTAGAGCTGGCCACCTGAAACAGCACCAAATGATTCATACTGGAAAGAAACCTCCGGCAGCTCTTCTTGGATGCAGGGTTGCCAAGCCCATGGTTTTTCCACAGAATTGGGCTGCTTTTAAACTGTTGCCATGGGTTGCTTTTCCCAAGTGGGCTAAAGGTTTGAAATATTGCATAAATTACATTTGACTGAAATTCTTGTATTGAAACATTTTGCATTCTACCTATGATAAAACTTTCATGGACTTTTACATTAACTGTTCCCTCCTGGTGGAACGATCTGCCCAGCTCAATCTAAGCAGCTGAGTCCTAAATCATTTTCAAGAAACAGCTGAAAACACATCTCTTTCATTTTCATTTGACCCTCTAACTCTAGCACTCTCTATTCTAATGCTAATTCTAATTTTATCTGCTTGTTTATTTATTAAAGAAATTTGACTAACATTCATTTGCACTCTCTATTCTATTTCTATTCTAACTCTGTTTTATTTAAAAAGACAAAAAAAGAGCCTTTAACACAAGCATTGATCTGCCCAGCTCAATCTAAGCAGCTGAGTCCTAAATCATTTTCAAGAAACAGCTGAAAACACATCTCTTTCATTTTCATTTGACCCTCTAACTCTAGCACTCTCTATTCTAATGCTAATTCTAATTTTATCTGCTTGTTTATTTATTAAAGAAATTTGACTAACATTTGCACTCTCTATTCTATTTCTATTCTAACTCTCTGTTTTATTTAAAAAGACAAAAAAGAGCCTTTAACACAAGCATTCTCTATTTTTTCTCTATCCTTTCTACTTATTTTCTTTTTATTTATTATAAATAATGACCTTCTAACACAAGCATTAGGCCTATCTATTCTTTTTCTGTTCTATTGACTTGTTTTATTTTTATTTAAAAATGACCCTTTAACATTCCCTATTCTTTTTCTATTATATCTACTTGTTTTCTTTTTATTTATTATAAAAACACATAAATAGAACGAGGCATCAGTTTACTGTCGGGGATTTGCCGTGTCACATCGCGTTGCTTCGTGCGCCATATCCAGTGTAAAGAGTGAGAGCGTCACTGATTATAATGGGTTCTTCTATAGTATTTTGTAAGGTATGCCTAGTTATTTATCTATTGTGATAATTACAGGTCGTGCAAAACATTATTGGTCAAGAGAAATAGCTGTGTTCTGTACGTTTGACGCTTGTACGATCATTTTCTTCCAAATACGATCATTTTGTGCTTCTGGTACGATACTTGGATATTTCCAATCTGGCAACACTGCACACAATGCCTCTGCACTTACTTCCGATTTCTCTCAACACAGTAGGCTACATATGTCAGTCAATAACTGAAAACAAAGTAGGCCCTAACTTGCGTTACTTATTTGAAAAAGTAACTCAGAAAAAGTAACTATTTTCTTGTAAATTTTCTTGTAGTTATTTTAAAAGGTCATCTGAATTTAACGTAGCCTAGCCCTGTATTTTAATTTCTCCAGATCTGGTCCTGTGGGTCTCGGTATCAGTCAATGATCACAGTTCACACCTACAGTGAAGCCCCTCCCACAACAATTCACCTATAAATACTGGTGAAAATTCACATCATCCTACAAGAGAAGAACAAACTCCAGGTGCAGCAGCTGAAATCTGTGACTGTTAAAGATGGAGTTTATTAAAGAGGAGATTGAAGACATGAGTGATCCAGAACCATCCAGAATAAAACATGAAGATACTGAGGAACAAACAGGTTGGTTCTTGGTTCTTAATTATTGACTGTTTTTGTTAGTTGTGAAATTATGATCAGTATATGGATGATAAATGATACAGAATTGCTATTAAATGATCATAACACCGTTGTCATCCACATTTCATTGAATTCACAAGATAATTATCTAGTCTTTGGCACATCAAAGATCTGATACTTTATACAAGTATCTAATCTCTGTTGTTTTCTGCTGTTAAATCAATGTTCACATAAACTGATTCTTACTTTTTTATTTCAGACCGGATTGAGATGAAAGAGCAAAAACAAAAACCGAATGAAGAGGAGGAGAAACACTGTGACTTCAAAACTCAAAGAACAAAGGCCAAAAAACTGCACAACTGCTCACAGTGTGAAAAGAGTTTCTCACAAAAAGGAAACCTTGAAAGACACATGAGAGTCCACACTGGAGAGAAACCATACACATGCCCTCGGTGTAGAAAGAGTTTTTCACAACTGGACACTTATAAACAGCATCAGAAAACACATGATGAAGTGAAAGATCACGTGTGTTTGGATTGTGGGAAGAGCTTCGCTAAAGTTAGCCGTTTGAAACTGCACCAAATGATTCACACTGGAGAAAAACCTCACAAGTGTTCATATTGTGACAAGAGTTTCACTCAGGCAGGAACCATGAGAATACATGAGCGAGTTCACACTGGAGAGAAGCCGTATCACTGTACTCAGTGTGAAAAGAGTTTCAGATATAGAAGTGATCTCAATTATCATCTGCTCGTTCACTCTGGAGAAAAGCCGATTACCGGTGATCAGTGTGGTAATGATTTTCTGAAAGAACACACGAAAATGCATACAAATGAAAGGCCTTATGCATGTTTTTATTGTGGAAAGAGTTTTACTCAGCTGGGTCATTGTAAACAGCACCAGAAAATACACACCGGTGTGAGAGATCATGTGTGTTGTGAGTGTGGGAAGAGCTTTACTAAAGCTGACCATCTGAAACGGCACCAAAGAATTCATACTGGAGAAAGACCTTACAAGTGCTCATATTGTGACAAGAGTTTCACTAAGTCTGGAGGCCTGAAAGCACATAAGCGAGTTCATACTGGAGAGAAGCCGTACTACTGCCCTCCCTGTGAGAAGAGCTTTAGATATTTAAAAAGCCTTAAAAGGCACTTGAAAAAATGTCACACATCGTCACAGTGAGCAACATTTTTATGTCAAAATAGTCAAGTAAAGAGATAAACAAAATATGAAGTTCCTCCCAAAAGCACAAATGCACCTAGTTTAGTTTTGTGAATTTTGACTTGTTTGTAGTCTGATTAAGGAACTATAGAGTGATGTTTGAAGTTTCGCCAGAAAACAATTCTCACAGTGTTAATAATAATTTGTATCTTTCCTACTGTGTAATTTGCAAAATCAGGTTGGACTGTGTGCTAAGGAGGTCTTGCTTGAATGAGACACAATTACTTGTTTTCTATATGCTCAGATTGTACATGAGTTGGAAGATTTTAACCAATAAAAAAAACTGCTAACGAAAGTTTTCATTATTAACAGATGGTTTAGAGTTTCCATTAAAACAGCTGCATTATGTTGCAAGACAAACATTGTTGTATAATTTAATTTGAACAATATAAGTTCAGTGAAAAAAACATGCATCATCTGAATCACTAGATTCTATTGTTTAATTATATTTAACTTTTATAAACTAATTTCAATATAAAAATAAATATCATAGTTAATAATCTTGTAGTTTGTCTCAGTCTGTTGACATACAATGAAATGTGGCCCTGGACCATAAATCCAGTCATAAGGGTAATTTAAAAAAAATTATGAGTCAGGCATCATAAGCTGCATAAATAAACTTTCCATTGATGTATGGTTTGTTAGGATCGGACAATATTTGGATGCGAGATGCAACTATTTGAAAATCTGGAATCTGAGGGTGCAAAAAAATCTAAATATTGAGAAAATCATCTTTAAAGTTGTACAAAGGAAGTTCTTAGCAATGCATATTACTAATCAAAAATGAAGTTTTGATATATTTACAGTAGGAAGTTTACAAAATATCGTCATGGAACATGATCTTTATTTAATATCCCAAAGATTTTTGCCATAAAAAAATCTATTATTTTGACCCATACAATGTATTTTTGGCTATTGCTACAAATATCCCTGTGCTACTTATGACTGCTTTTGGTCCATGGTCACAAATGTGCCAATTTACAGAAGATCTCAGACATCCTCATAATGAATGAGGTGAAAACAGGGAACTATTTGAATGAGACAAAGGCTTTTCAGCATCTCAGTTAAACGTGATGGCTCTGTTATTTCGATCTTTTGTTGTTTATATTACAAACAGACATTATGACTGGGTGATTTCTATGCACATACAAGCGGGGCGGGGCTGATTATGTTCTGGCATTCCTTTCAAACTGTTCAGACACATCTAAAACTCCTCCAACATAGAGAGCACAAGTAATTATCAGTTCGTTTTGGTTCTCAAATCTGATTGGTTGAGAACCGTGAGATATTGTACTGGGGCAAGTTCAAGCTCAAACCGGTGTGCACCGTTTTGCTACGGTTTCCGGTTTGAACGACATGTTTCCTGGAAACGGTGTGCAACGGGGTTTGAGATGCATTTTCTCTTGTTTGGTGCGTGTGTCAAACATGCCAGCCCAATCAGCAGCAATATATAAACCATTATTAAAGAGACAGCTGGCACAATGTAATTAACATCAAACTGAATTCACAAGAGCAAGTATATTTTTTGCACATGTTTATTTACATTAAAGGCAAAATAACTGAAATAATAAGGGATTCAAGTATGCACAATCTTCCGCTGACTGGGTATTACAAAGGGAATTTTCCGCAGGTTCTGGCATACGCATGGCTTTATAAATCTGAAAACTTTTGTACATATGCAAAATCTAGCTTTTGTACGTACGCACACATTTAGGATGAAATCTACGTAAAGTTTTATAAATGAGGCCCCAGCTCAGCCGTTAAACTCTCAAACTGAGATTTGAATATGTGGTGGAAGTAATTCCGCACAAAAAGGTTTTTAAAGACACTCCGTTGTTGTTTTTCATATATATTTACACTCGTGCCGTCGAACTGTGGTATAAATGCAATATCACTCTCTTACTCGAGTGATACCGGCTCTATATCAGCGGCTGTGGTTAGACCAGAGGCACAAGGCCGCAGGCCGAGTGCCGGATATAGAGCCGGTATCGCTCAAGTAAGAGAGTGACATTGCTCATATATATATATACACACACTACTGGTCAATAGTTTGGGATCAGTAAGACTTGTAATGTTTTTTAAAGAAGTCTCTTCTGCTCATCAAGGCTGAATTTATTTGATCAAAAATAGAGAAAAAAAACAGTAATCTTGCAAAACGTTATTACAATATAAAATAATGGTTTCTATTTTAATATCATTTAAAATATAATTTATTTCTGTGATGCAAAGCTGAATTTCCATCAGCCATTACTCCAGTATAAAGTGTCACATGAATCTTCAGAAATCATTCTAATATGCTGATGTATTATTAGAATTATCAATGTTGGCAACAGTTGTGCTGCCAAATATTTTTTTATTAAAAAAAGAAAGAATAAAAATGTACTTACCCTAAACTTTTGAACTGTAGTGTATATTGTTAGAAAAGATTTCTATTTTAAATAAATGCTCTTCTTTTTAACTTATTTTTCATCAAAGAATCCTGAAAAAGTAGATTCCAAAAAAATATTAAGCAGCACAACCGTTTCCAGCACTGATAATAAATCAGCATATTAGAATGATTTCTGAAGGATCATGTGACACTGAAGACTGGCGTAATGATGCTGAAAATCACAGGAATAAAATTTAATTTTACATCATAATAATATCTCACAATATAACATTTTTTCCCTGTATTTTTGATCAAATAAATGGAGCCTTGATGTGCATAAGAAACTCCTGTAAAAAAACATAAAAAATCGTTCTGATCCCAAACTTTTGACCCGTAGTGTATGTACATATCACATATATATATATATGAGTTTTTCTATATTATAACTGTGTGTGCTCTAATATGATGAGCTGCTATTATAAGAGAAAACATGTGATGACCATGTGCTGACATGTGATATGTGATGTGAGTTTTCCCGATTTACAGAGATTCACATGAACTGGCTCCAGAGGTGAGGTATTTAAGTTGGGAAATATTAACATCATCCTAGAGGAGAAGAACAAACTCCAAGTGCAGCAGCTGAAATCTGTGACATACTGTGGTAAAGACGGAGTTTGTTAAAGAGGAGATTGAAGACATGAGTGATCCAGAACCATCCAGAATAAAACATGAAGATACTGAGGAACAAACAGGTTGGTGTTCATTTTTGAGTCTTCATTATTAACTACTGAGGTTCAGCTGAATTTTTGCATTTCTCATTTTTGAACTATTTCTAACTTTTTCAATTAGACCAGATGAGGCAACATGGATGACCGTGGGTCAGATTTCCTGCCGCCAACAAGTCTGGAGCGACATACCAGAAGACGATTGTTACATTTAGGAGGATAACTCAAGATTAATGGTGGAAGAGACGACACACTGACCCTCTTCCCCCCGAGGACAAAGAGCAAAACCTTTCGACCTTCCTCACAGAACAGGATTCTCTCTCTCAGAACCGCTTACAGAATAGCTGCCATAACATGTGTAAAATAGGTGGTCTATATACTAGAAGGGTTTGGAGCCTATGAGCGTCGCTCACGCTGCTGTTTCTTTCCTGGCGCTCTTTCACACTGTTCAGACTCGGTGGAAAACTACTCCAACATAGAGGGCACAGGTAAATATTGATTTCTATCAGTGCTTAAATGAGGATTATTTTATATTTCACTCTGATGCTAAAGTTAAACTACCCTGGGGTGCCTTTCCATACAACTACTAACACATGTAGAAGATTTTTATGAATCAAAATATGAATTAATCAAGCATAATCAATGTGAATGTCACTATATATATGAGTTATTCTTTATTACAGTCATGTATTTTATTGTGTGTGCTCAATAAGCTGCCATTAGTCCTATAAGAGAAAACATGTGATGACCAGCTGACATGTGATATGAACTGAGACCTCTTTGTGTTACTATTATGCGGTCATGAGGAGATATAGACTGGGGTTAAAAGTTAAGAAGTAATAGTGGCCTGAATGATATCTATTGTTTATGGAAACCTATATAAAAGAGAGAAAGAAAAGACAGATTCTAGAGATTCTCTGCAGAGTCTCTGGGCTTCATTATCACAATCTGTCTTCTGGCATCAAAACCTTAAGACTTCAAGAGTGATTTCTCACAGAAGAACTAACATTTGGCGCATAAAAAATATGATTATTGATACTCCCAGACCTGATCTCTGCTATTTTCTGCTGATCAGGGTGCAGTTGAATTTTCACATTTATCGAACTAATTATAACGACTTACTATGTTTATTTTAGACCCAATGAAAGCGAAAGAGCAAAGACAAGAGCTGACTGAAGGGGAGGAGGAACACAGTGACTTCAGAACTCAAAGATTAAGAAAGAAAACGCTGCTCACATTCAGCTGATTGTTCATTGATGGAAAATTGTAAACAGCACCAGAAAACACATGATGTGAGAGATCATGTGTGTTGTGAGTGTGGGAAGAGCTTTACTACAGGATCTCTGCTATTTTCTGCTGATCAGGGTGCAGTTGAATTTTCACATTTATCGAACTAATTATAACGACTTACTATGTTTATTTTAGACCCAATGAAAGCGAAAGAGCAAAGACAAGAGCTGACTGAAGGGGAGGAGGAACACAGTGACTTCAGAACTCAAAGATTAAGAAAGAAAACGCTGCTCACATTCAGCTGATTGTTCATTGATGGAAAATTGTAAACGGCACCAGAAAACACATGATGTGAGAGATCATGTGTGTCGTGAGTGTGGGAAGAGCTTTACTACAGCTGCCTTTCTGAAACAGCACAAAAGAATTCACACTGGAGATAAACCTCACAAGTGTTCATATTGTGACAAGAGTTTCACTCAGGCAGGAACCATGAAAATACATGAGCGAGTTCATACTGGAGAGAAGCCGTATCACTGTACTCAGTGTGGAAAGAGTTTCAGAAGTTAAAATGGTCTGGACTGTCATCTGCTCGTTCACTCTGGAGTAAAGCCATTTACCTGTGATCAGTGTGGTACAGATTTCAGATTATCATCAAAACTAGAAGAACACATGAAAATTCAAACAAATGTG